TGAGAACACAGTTTAGGTGACCATTCTCCTTTCTGGAGATTTGATATTTTGTTTTTTCCCCTAACCCTATTTGATTTGGGGAACTCCACTCTATCACTATTTCATTGTCAATTTTATATATATTTATACTCGACTGAACACACTTAAACAGTAAAAAAAAAAAACTAGAAAAAAATTGCTCCACATTTGGAGTTGACAAGTCATAATGGAATTTCTATTTCTACACCCACTTCCAATTAGTAAAATGCAATTACTTTGAATAGGCAGTTGTTTGCAAAAATCTTAAAGTATATATAAACTAAAAATAAAAATAAAAAAAAATAAAACCAAACACATTTCTAGAGACAGGCTAGATGCCTCTTGTAGATAGGGGCCAGTAAGTAGCTATATACTATAAAGTCTGGCCATATATATATATATATATATATATGGAGATGGCCAACACACACATAGTATTGGTTTTAACATTGCTGTGTCTGTATGGGAGTGGGAGATAGCCTCATGGATCATATTGTGAAAGTGGTTATTAGTTTATTGCTATGCCATTCACACCAACTCTGAGTATGTGATAGAGATAGCCTGTTATATGTAATATGCAATGATTAATGATAATTGCCTTAAATCAAAACACTTGGGTAATTAACGGGCATTCACTTCTGCAACTAAATATAATGCCAAACAGAAATTTACTCAGAATTCAGATATACAAAGAATATATATTTATAGTGGAACAAAAATGTTAGTTTTCATGAATGTTTTATGCATTTTGTTATATTTATGGTAATTTTTCTGTTATTGATATTGTCACATCTATTAATGTGATGATATTCTAATTTCCATGTGAGGTATGGATGTGACACTGTGCTTCCTCAAACCTATCTTATTGCTGTTACTTTTCTTTTCTTTTCTATTACATTTCTCTTTCAGATGTATTTAGTTTTTTTTTTACCAGCTTTGTGATGAGAAGAATTTTACCAAGCGTTTTATGTATAGTCTTTCTGCCACATCACTAAAACTAAAGTTTAATTAGGTGAAAGAGCTCTGCATCTTTGGTTTGCTTTACCTCCCACATACTGTTCTGAATTGTCATGTGTGTACACACAATGTGGCCAAATGATGCAAACATATGCTTTTATTTTCATCATGACACAGTGAGTAGTGATTTATATTGCTGTTTATGAGCCCAACATGATTTGTGCACATTGCATGTATGCCATCTGTCAAGATATGTCATTTTCTTTTATTTGCCTTCATTTTTTAGTTAGCCGACATGACATTATTAGACTCTCTTCTCACGCATGTTTCCCACATAACATTACTTTCCCACTTGTAGCTTTGGAAATTACCATGACAACTGACACTATTTAATTCCACTTGCCTCAGTTCCATAGATTCTGTTATATGAGACTATATTCGATTGGAACATTTCATTTTGGTTGTTACTCTGTTATATCTTATTGTAGCTTGTGTTACATAGTTTGAACCTTCTAAATGTGTTTAGTGCTTTTCTTTGTTTAATAACATTGGACATATTTCTCAAAGCATTTGTACATGAGGCATATATACTAAAAAAGAGATTTGTGCATTTGGTTTCAAACAAAATGCAATTTGTACAAATGTTCGGTGGTCGTCCAAATTCTGTAACTCTGAATCGCTACATGCCTGGATCATGAAACAAGCACAATGGGCAATGGAGGAGCCATTTTATTGTCAGTCAGCGTTCCAGCTTTGAAGCCAAAAAAAGGGGACGGAATGGTGAAGAAGCTGATTGAGCAGCTTAGTTTGCCATGATGGTCAAGAGGTCTACTCACTGCTGTGAGCTGTATCTCCTGTCGGATCAAAAAGTGGAAAAAAGATGATTGATGGTTAGCCACTAAATATTGGTTTTATTTAAAAATCAAATGAGAAGTGAGTGACAGAGGGAAAAGGGAAGGTCTGCATACTTTGAAGCAGAATTGTTTTAGACACATTGAATACAGCTGTTTAGGGAGGTTGGCAACACACACACATAGTATTGTTTTTTTTTTTTATTAATTGAGTTTATTGGTTTTTAAGCACAAAGGAGAGAAGGGAGTGGGTACAGAAGGAAAAAAAGGGTAGGGTAAGGGGTTCAGGGTTACAATACAGAGAATCTGATACATCACAATGACATTCACATTTCATGTTAATCACCGTCTAACTAGGTGCGCAGTTGTTTGGGCGTAAAGTAGTCGCTGCTCATCCCAAGTCAGAACTGGCACTACCTATACCCCACTGTTCACCCTTCAAGTGTATCTCGTCGATGAGGCCATGTAGCTATCTGCCTCTTGCGTGCGCTGAGGGCGATGCTCTAGTTATTTCGAGCCTATTTGTTGTGCGATTTGCTTATATGTCGCATACCTTAACCTTGTAGGGTGTTTGGGGGGGGATCAAGGAAGCTCAAGGTTTGGCCCTCTTGCTTTTAAGGTCTTACTGTCCCTCCACTGGACGGGGCTCCCTGCATACACTGTTAATGCCTCCTATGTATCCCTGAGAAGTGTGGAATTCTGTGAGGTATTGCACAAGTGACCAGGTGATGCTCTGCCTGAACCTCCCTAAACAAAAAGTGAAACCGAAAAAATAAGGTAGAATATAGTATAACAAAAAACAGTTTAACATGAGGGAAAACACAATCTGATTGCTATCCAGCATCTAGGTGGAGGCCGAGGGGGGGGGGATCTAAGGCGTTCCCTGCACTAAAATCCCTTTTTTTTTTTTTTTAAATATAATATCGTTAGTAACAGATGTGAGTATGATCCGGGTCTCAGGCCGGATGATGGTTTTATGGAGGCTGGAATTGATAGTGGCGACACCAAGGTTCCCAGGTTTTAGATATTTTATGTTTTTGGTTAGGAGTTATCGCAGAAGAGATATCATACACATAATTTAGTCGGATTTTGTCCATGAGGTTCTTTTCAGACGGGCAAATGGTTGATTTCCAATTGAGCGCTATGAGAGCCCTAGCCGCCAGTATCACCTGTGCGGCCAGTGCCCTCTCCTGCTTCGTCCAGCTGGCGGGAAGGTCCAACCAAAGGCAGGACCCAAACTCCAGCGGGAGAATAATATCTACGTTGCTAAGCAATCTTGCGACCTCCAACCACAATGGCTGAATAAGGTCACATCCCCACCATATGTGGAGCATCGTGCCTTTTTGGGCTCGGCACCTCCAACATCGGTCAGAGGTGTTTGGGTAGATTTTGCTGAGCCTGTCTGGTGTCAGATACCATCGGTACATTAGCTTTCTGTGAGCTTCCATGTGTGAGTAGCACGCAGTATGACCAGTCAGTGCATTAACCAGTGCTAGCCATTTGTGGGGAAGGAGAGTTGTCCCGCTTTCTTTTTCCCATTGGGACATAAATGACAGGGATGGGGAGAGTGGGAAGTTCGAAGTACTTGCCTCTAGACTTAAAAAACGTAGCCTCGCAACTAAAATAGCTTACGTTCACAACCCCCAGGGTCAGAAAATTGTAAACCCTGATAAAATAGTACAGGAATTTGCTCAGTTTTACCGCACACTCTATAATCTTAAAGATGATAACCTGACACCCCAACCCACACAAGAACAGATAGACAAATTTCTAGGGATGATCCAGCGACCCTTGCTGCCCAATGATAAGATATCTGACCTTATTAAACCAATTTCCATTGAGGAAGTTACACAAATGATTAAAGATTTACCCAATTCTAAATCGCCAGGACCAGATGGACTCTCCTCCATATACTATAAAACCTTCCAAACTGCTCTTACACCACACTTAGTTTCTCTGTTTAACCAAGGTTTCACACAAGGTAAATTACCCGGTGAAATGCTACGAGCTCACATAGTCACTCTACCCAAACCAGGTAAAAAACCCACAGCATGTGCTAATTTCCGCCCGATATCCCTATTGAATATTGATACCAAACTATATGCAAAAATTCTGGCGTCTAGACTCAAACATTTACTCCCCACTCTAATCCACTATAACCAATCCGGCTTTGTCAAAGGCAGACAGGGCTCAGACAATTCTAGGCTTCTTCTTAATGTCCTGGAGGGTCTCAACACTAACAAACTGGGAGGACTGCTGCTCGCATTGGATGCGGAAAAAGCCTTCGATAGGCTCAATTGGCTATACATGAAATCGGCACTAGACAAATTTGGCTTTCCTTCAGCATTCATAACAGCAATTATGGCCTTATATTCCTCCCCAGAAGCTAGTGTCACCAACGCAGGATTCGTTTCCACACCCTTTCCAATTTCGAACGGAACAAGACAGGGTTGTCCTTTGTCCCCTCTGCTTTTTATACTATGTCTAGAACCCTTAGCTCAGATCATTCGGCAGGACCCAAACATTCATGGAGTCACTGTTGGCGAACACCAATACAAACTCTCATTATTTGCTGATGACATTCTGCTGACACTGACAAGGCCAGAGATATCACTCCCAAACCTCATGCCCATCCTACAATCTTTTGGCTCTACCTCGTATTACAAACTTAATACGGCTAAGACACAAGCCCTGCCTATTAATCTCCCCTTGAAGAATGCTGAGGAATTAAAAAAGACCTTCGATTTCGATTGGAGGACGGAGTCGGTAACCTATTTGGGAGTGCGAGTTGCCAAATCGATACATACTATATACAAACTAAACCATGTCCCTCTCTTAGAAATAATCCGTAAAGAGCTGAATTCATGGAAAGACGTGATGATCTCATGGGCAGGGAGAATCAACGCGGTGAAAATGATGGCCCTACCTAAACTGCTGTACTTATTTCGTATGCTACCTGTACCTATCCCACAAAGCTTTTGCAAGAAAGCCCAGTCCATTATTAATAACTTTATATGGGGAAACAAACGTGCGAGAGTAGCGAGTTCCACATTGTATAGACCGTTCCAGATGGGAGGGATGGGGGTACCCCAGGTGGCCATGTATCACTTGGCGGCCATATTATCCCAAGCAGTAAATCTTCACGCAGACAAGGGACAACTACTTTGGGTCGACATGGAACGCAAACAATGGCCTAATGAAACCCTCCTAGAGCATATGTGGTCCCCACCAGCTAAACGGGGGAAGGCACGTACACTCTTCTCAACAACGAAACTGACCATACACATATGGGATAAGTTCAAGGCACTTCAAACTAAGACTTCCAGATTCCATAGACTGGCTCCACTAACCGCCATGTCCGCAGTGTTACCATGGCTCCCACTATCCACATGGGCGAAAGCGGGCATCACTAGTGTCTCCCAACTACTCTCTGGTACGGAAATCACTCCTTTTGCTGAACTCCAACAGAAGTACAGTCTAGCCCCTAGATACATATTCCCTTACCTCCAAATTAAAAGTGCATTATTGGAGCATGTCGATAGGACCATAGAGGGCAAGGCTGGAGAACCAAATCAGCAATGCGACCTGCTTATGACATGTTGGAAATACCCCCTTAGGCCTAAATTGCTCTCAAAGTGCTACATAGTATTGGTTTTAACATTGCTGTGTCTGTATAGGAGTGGGAGCCTCATGGGTCATATTGTGAAAGTGGTTATTGGTTTACTGCTATGCCACTCACACCAACTCTGAGTATGAGATAGAGATAGCCTGTTTAATTCTTTCTAATGAGACTGATAAGGTGGTTAGGTTATTACTTTACCTAAGCGCTGCCAGTGTCACATGCACAATCTTTGCGTAGGAGATAGGTAACCAGGGTCACTGATGCCATGCGACTGGTTAGGTCGCTGCTGTGTCTCTCGACTGCCAGTGCCATTTACACCAACTTTGTTTCACTTTTTTGTTGTTTTTTTGCAACAGTATTGTTACAGGGTACAGATTCCTTTAGAAATCTGTTTTAAAACAATTTTATTCTTTAACTGTGTGCTGTGCAAGAGTGTGAGCACAAGTCACTACCACCACCAAAACTACCACCACCATCACAACTAACACCACCACCACCCTTGTCCAGGCTAGTAGGAAGTAAGATTAAAAAAAAATACTTTTTATCTAACCACTGCCAGTGACCCTTACTACAACATTTATTCACTGATTTACATTTTATTGATTTGTAGGAGTAGTGGGAGGGGGTTATTTTGAGTGACAGTTATTTGATTTTACAGGTACTTCAGTACCACTGCTCGTGCTTTGAAAATTGCAAGTGAGTTAGTGGCAGTTTACTGCAAAATTGAACACTGCAATGAATTTGGCAGTTCCTTTTTAAGGAAAAAGAAAAATCCTTTTTTTTCCCGAGTGTGTTCAGTGCAGTGTGCTGCATCAGAAGTAATATTACATGCAAGGTTCAGCATCATTGAATACGTTTTAAAAGAACAACTAAGGGAGTGATCAGCAGAGCATAGTGTCCCTTTAATAATACAGTCATGATTCCTGACACAGTTGCGACTGTAACACTCTTATAGTTTAAGGGTCATCTGTTTTAAAAACAATGATTCTTGCAGCTAATGCAGATATTAAACCTCAAAGAGAACAGAGAAAGTTCCATAAAATAGTAATGCAACAATTATATGCTCTAAGTCTCAGTAAAATTTTTTACTGGTTTCTAAATCAGCTTCAAATACATTGAACATATCATATATCAGAGAGATACATGATGTATTCAATGTTAAATACTGAGATTTATTCACAATACTTAGTTCCAGTGCCAAGGACGGATTACACATTAGACATATATACAAAGCAATTGTTGCAACTCTGTCCGCTTTAAGTAATATATTTTTTACCCTTCCCTCCTCCGTTAGATGCTCACCCAGTCTCCACTCCTTCAAAAAATCATTAAAACCCCACTTCTTCATAAAAGCGTATCAAACTGGTAATAGCTCCCGACTGATTCCTCTTCTGTAAATGTCACTAGTCTAATACTATCCTTACCTTTTGTGTCACTTTACCCCACTCTATCTAGAATGTAAGCTCACTGAGCAGGGCCCTCAACCCCTCTGTTCCTGTGTGTCCAACTTGTCTGGTTACAACTACATGTCTGTTCGTCCACCCATTTTAAAGCGCTGTGGAATTTTATGGCGCTATATAAATAATAACATAACATAATAATAATACAATAAATTAGAGTTAACCCTGTCTTGAATGGATATAAATTTAAGCAATTCACGTGAGAAAAGCACATATATCTATATTGTATCTATATTACATGTGTGCACAATACCAGTAAAATGGTTTAGGTACTATTCTGTGGATTATTTTCTGTTGTCTTTGAGGTTTAATATCTGCAAGCAAGATTGTATCTAATACAGAAGATTCTTAAACTACAAGCGTTTTACTATTGCAACTGTGTCAGAAACCACCGCTGTGTTATTAAACATTACAGTTGCCGATCGCAGTCTGTATTAAGTAACAAGGAAATCTGGACATATATATTTAGGGATCTCTGTCTATTCTGTTTTATTACAGCATATTGTTCTGCACAGTACTTACACACAGGTCAATACAGCAAAATAAAAGAAAAACTATTAGATATATTAACAACAGCAAAGGATTGACACAACTGCATTGTGCTTCAATTATTAATAAAAATAGACTCACAAGCAGCCGTTTTACCGTTGTCAGACATATCCAAGCATATTCTTCAGAACATTTGTCCCACAGACAACGAGAATTATTTTGAGGGAATACACTAGAGACATTGAATCAATAATGGGCCAATGTGTTACAGACACACTAGTAAATTGCCATTGTTTCAGGTGAAAGGCAATTATTCAAGTTTGCTTTGCAACTCTCTGCTTGTGGAAAAACAAGTACATTAGTTACACATTCGCAACCATAGAATTCAAACTGACATCTGTATTGAAGAAACATGCAAGTATTTCTTATGGAAGAGGAGGAAACACAAAGGTAATTACTGTGAAACTGTATATCAAGGGAGATTTTATGAAATAAAAAATAGCATTCTGCTGCCAACAGGCAACATATGAACAGCTGCAGGTTATGGCTGTATTGCCAATTTGAACTGATGCCCCTTTTCTGACCATCTGCTGCCAGAAATGGTCCATAAATGAGCACTCTCTCAGCTCAAATGGGAATACGTATATATTCTATATGAAATATAGCAACTGTAACAGCATCATCAATAAATATTTTTTTCTAAAGTTCCAATATATTTCTAAGAGGTGTTCCTAAATCAAATGGAAACTTTAAATAATGACTTTCACCCTTCTGTAATTGTTTTCCAACAAGTCCCATGATGCCCTCATGAGGCTGTTGAATTTTGGAAGTTGTTGGTCAACATAAGGTGGAAAGTCAAACTTGAACACACCTAGTCCAAGAGGTTCTTGGTATCTGAAGAACCTGTTGAGGGGAGGACAGGTCTTCCATGGTCTCTTGCAAAGTCTAAAACAAATGCTGCCCATCTAGTCAACAAAACAGTTGATTATGGCAGCAGTCAGCGAGGCAACTAACTGACAAGATTAAAGGAACTTTTGTTGGCTGTCCAATCACAAACTACACCCAATACAACTCAATGAGAAATGTTTGCAAGGCAGATGCTCTGGACAATTGCTGCCTCTTGAGTTTAACTCCACTGAGCTAAATAATCAAGAGATAACAGGAACGGTTGTCTCTTTAACAGCCGGGAGTTGTAACTAGGTGAATTTATAAAGTGCCAATATCTATTGAAATCTGTACTTTTTGTAAAATGGAAAAAAGTACACACGTCACACAAGTTAGCAAGCTAAAGTGCTTTAGGGGTCAGGGGTGTCCCTTTAAAGTTTCTCACTGCTTATCTGACTCTTGTTTTGAATGAGATCAAGATGTGAACTTAATTAAGGTCCTTGCCTAAAGAATGAAGTGTCTGGAGGGAGCTTAAGCCCAACACGCAGAATCAAGTCAACTAGAAAAACATATTACTGGTCCTTAGAATGGTTGGACTTAATGTAGAAAGAATAGTCATAAGCAAGCCGAAGTCAGGGGCACAGACAGGAGCAAAAATGAGAAGACAAAGCAAAAGGGTCAGGGATACCAGAAATATGGATAGTCAGAATAAGCCAAGATCAAAAACAAGGAATCAATAAACCAAATGCGCTCTCGGATAACCAAAGAAGTGGAAACCACAACAGGGCAAGGAATAAATAAAGAAATGGGCTTATATAGCCCTTCCCAATCATTCATTGGTGGGCAGGGGTCAACTGACTCCAGAACGTGCGTATGCGTTCTTTGTGTGGCCACACACGTATGTCTGCATGACCTCTAACCCTGCTGGATGTAGGGCTATACATTGTGCTGCTTTTACAGCAGCCGGCGTCCATAGGAACGCTGTGCTCGCTGGGTATGGACGCGCCGGCAGATCTGTCTGTGATCCGCCGCAACTTAGGTAAGTCTATTTTATTTTTTAAGAGACCCCACCAATCGGGTGCATTCACGTGGCGCTGCGGACAGGGAGCCGTGACATCAAGTCATTCACAGCAGGTTGCAGAAAATATATTTTGCTGATTTACGCAGATCAAATGCTCATAATAAGAATAAAGGTTCACTGCTTAACATAAGCCAGTTCCAAAGGAAAGAAAATGCATAGCTGCCCATACTTAAGCCCCACAATATTTACTTTGTTGTATACTGTAATTGGTTTTGACTAAACTAGCATAACACATTGTCGGGAAGGAAACATCTGATGACACAGAAGTCCACACAGCCAGCCCTTTTCAGGAAACTGCTCAATCTGCTCAAATCCACTTCGAAGGAATCATGGATTAAACTTTTTTAGTGCTGTTGTAATATGTATTATATTTTCAGGAATATGCATTTCAGTGGATACAAATAAACATTTAAAGACCTGATTTTAAAACACTGCACTCCGAGGATCCCCATTATGGTTTTTGGGTTCCTCGCCTGTTGCAATTTGAAATAACAGAGATTCCTGATTCACTGCATTTCAATCTATGCAATAGAAAAATGTGTCAAACATTTCTCAGCTCTGTCAAAGAGTGCAATAAATTACACCAAACTAGTGGGAAAATGTTTGAAACTAGACATATGGGGAAATTTATTAAAGTGTCAGTTAATAATCTGCACCTTTTCTGGGATTCGCTTTTTATTGTGCTAATGATTAGCTCTATTTTTTTACTTATCATCATTTTTTAAAATATAATTATTTATATATTATTTATGTAACATTTTACCTTTTTTGCTTCAGAAAAATATTTACACCACTTTTATTTTTGCACAGAAGACAGGATACTTGCTGAATTGCTGAAATTACAGTATTTTTTGTTAATGGGACATAAATGCAAGCGGTGCAAAAAAGATCAAAATATACAAAGGAGAACAAAGTGACATATTTTAGACAACTTTACAAAGATATATTGGGAAAAAGTCACTTTTCAGATATTTTCCAAAATTGTCTCAGAACAGCAAATGCAATTTCATTTCTATTGTTTTTTATGGTGTTATAGTGCTTGGTAGTTTTTGGCAAAATAGTCACTTCCTATTTTGGGTAACAACCGGTCCATTTCTTTTAAACAAATTAAATTTATTTCACAGTTGGCAACAAATATAAAGCCATTACATGATCTTTAGTGTTGGAGTTTAATATCTTTATTGGCAATATAACAAATGCTTTAGGAGACTAG